TTTAAAAAAATCTGAAAAAAATTTATGAAATAGAAGTTATAGGAAAAAAATAGAATTTAAAATAAAATGAAACGAATTTTGTGAAATAGAAATTATAGGAAAAAATGGAATTTAAAAAAAAATATGAAACAAATTTTGTAAAATAAAAGTTATAGGAAAAAGATAGAATTTAAAAAATATATATATATATGAAAAATAGAAGTTATAGAAAAATTTTGTAAATAAAAAATAATAACAAAACTGTAAAAAAAAAAAAATGCAACTGCTAGCCGACGTCAGCTAGCCGTTGCGTTTGAATTTTAGCTTAAGCATTCCTGTCGATTATAACTGACATGATTAATGGTTTTTTCAGCTAGCCCTTTGGCTCTTTTAGATTCCGTGGGACCCTCTTAGATTCCACTAGTCATTTGGCCTAGCCCTCGGTTGAAGACGATTTTCGAACTATTTTTAACCCTCTAGATCCTTCAGTTGGAGATGGTCTTAAGCCATTGAGACAACGATGTCTTTGTCAATAATTTTATGTTCAATTATTTTATGCAAATATTTGTCTACATGGTCTTCATTAACAATAATACTTATTGTCTCCATCTGAAATTTTCCATTGATTTCTATCACTCATCTAATCCATCTAACTCACCATTACACCTCCACTAATTCACTCAACCCTTATTACACCCACACTAATTCACTTAACCCTTTTTCTTCATTGTTGTGCCCTCCAGCTGGATCTCTGGAATTTTCCTTTGGTATACACGGAAAGAGAAAAACGTTTGAAATAGTGTTTATTCTACAGTCTTTTTTCATTTTTGTCCCTTTCTTATTTCTGTGGTCAATGTTCATTCTACAGTGTGATTTTCTTTTTACCCCTGCTTTAGTCTTTTACTTCATTTCTGAATTCCTTCTTCCCACACCGTTTTATTATCTTGACCCACCTTTTCTCTGATGCTTCCCCACCGTTTCAGACTGGGCTCACCTTTTCTCTCCTGCCTCCTGCTCTCCCCGTCTCCCTCCTCGCCTCACCTCCCAATCTCCCAACTCATTTGCCGAGTTTGGTCTCCATCTTCTGGTGTTGTCTACTGTGGCTATTATGATTTTGTCTGCCTCATGGACTCTGAAAATATGGCATAAGCTTGATGGGTTTGCATGGCAGGGTTGATTTGGCGCTGACCCAATTAACTCTGCTGTTGTTCCCATTTTTCACTTCTATTTAGGTAAAAGCTTTTCTAAATTTGGTTTTGTTCTTTATATTTGGATTTGGATCATCTCTTGAGCTAATGGAGAGGATATTCCTAACTCATCATCATGAACCGTTGAGTTTTTATCCAACGACTACACACAGATAATTCTTTTAAAGTTATAATAATTGTAACCGTTGATAAAAATTCAACGGTTCACGATGATGGACCAGGAGGATCTCTCCATTCGGAGAGGATCCAAATCCTTTATTTTTAACCTGGGGAAGAAGTGAGCTGGACAAACCACCAAACAAAAATTAAATTGACGATTCCCCCGCAGCAACACGTGAGGGCGCGTACGACAGCGCACGGGAGTACCCGAGGTCCTCTTTTATGTTTTCTGACGTCCTGAATCTGTTTATGACGTCTAATTTCTGAAATTCAATCGTTATAGTAGTTTTTTTTATTAATTAGACCTTTTATGTACTTATGTGCATTTATTGTGGAGTTCCCTTCTTTGCTAGATTGCGTGGCTTTTCGACGGTAAAGTATTTGTGAGTGGACCTCTTTTAAAATGCATATTTTACTATTAGAACTGCATATATGAAAAACATGATTTAATAGTTACATTTTATAAGCAAATTGAATTTACATTATATGAATATCATGTTTTACTGAGAATATTTTGGAATACCATATTTTATCGAACTTATATTTTTTGTAGTATATATGACGGATGACTATATACTATTTATGAACATGTTTTTACACTTCTTTATGGTATATCTGATGGATGACTATATGCTATGAAGATGTTTTTGAGATATATGTACCTATGTTTGGAAATGGTATATTCAATGTTTTTGTGCTTATCTAGTGGTCACTGTTCTGCTTACGGACGAAGATAGTTGTTGGCTTCGGGTTGGGAGATATAGATATTGGCTTTGGGCCGAAAGATATAGTTGTTGGCTTCGGGCCGATAGATTAGTTATTGGCTTCAGGCCAAGAGATGTAGTTGTTGGCTTCGGGCCGGGAGAGATAGTTATCGGCTACCACGGATGACTAGGATACCACTATTTAGCACATTATGCGATATATGTTTTGGAAAGGTTTTTTGGCATACTAGGGTTTTCGGAAAACCTATCACCTATTATGCTATTAGTTTTCATAAAATTTTGAGGGTTAGTATGTTGATAACTGTTTCAGTATTGTGTGTGTGTGTATATGTGTATATCAACTTGGTCCACTCATGTTTTATTTTGCACCCCCTCAGGACTTAGAATCAAGGCATAATATCCCGGCGTCAAGGCACTCCCGCATCGGCATCTTCGAGTCATCTCGGTGTAGGACCCATTCCTTTGCTCATTTAATTTTATATTATTTCTTTTTAGTGTCTCTGTTCAGTTGTATGCTCTAAATAGGTTTCTTATTTGTATATTAATTATATATAAATTTATAAGTATTTAATTTATATTCGTTAGTCTCATGCATGTAATTATGGCTTCGTCACTTTTGGGTGTGGCCAGAACGTGCCTACCCTGGTGATCGAAGGATTTTCAGGGTCGGGCATGTCATGTTCATGTATTCCCATGTTTTGAATATTAAAGATACATATTTTATTTGGCCCAAATTTGCATGCTTGTTTACATGTTCTTAGCATAAATATGACATGATCAGGGCGCGAAGCCGTGGAGGCCACAATAGGCCATGACCCATCCTGTAATTTCACCCATTTATGTGTATTGTGTGCTAATTTTTACAATAAAGAGTATATGGTTTATTGATGGATACAATTTAAAGATTTTAGTAGGTAACAAATTCAAGACTTGCTTTTAGGGGTGGGCAAATGGGTATAGGAACCACGAGCCTGGGCAGGTAATGCGGGTACGGGGCGAGTACAAGTCGGTTCCTAATTTTTTAAAAGAGAAACAGGGCGAGCTGGGCCAGGCCTTTGAAACTTTAGGTTCAGGCCAGTTCCATAAGTGTAGAAACACGGGTACCCAGACCCACCCATTTCTAATTATAATGAATGACCCAGATTGGATGATAAGTTATCGTCCAATCTCAACCGTTAGTTTCAAAATCAAACCTAGCTTCCTCGAGGTTCCAGAATCACTCCCTTGCCTCTCCCTCAACCCCATTGCCTCTCCCTGGACTCCCTTCACTCCATCGCCTCTCCTCGACTCCCTGGACTCCCTCCGCTCCATCGCCTCTCCCTTGACTCCCTTGACTCCAACTCTCAATCGTCTTCCCCTCACCTCACAGTGCTCACACCAGTCTCACTATCTGGGTTTTAATTTCCTAGCTCCAAGGTGTGGGGGTTGTAGGTTTGATGGAGGTGGGTTCTAGGTTTCTAATTTGAGCTTGCAGAGTGACGAGTGTGTAGAGAAATAGGGGCCAAGAGTTGAAAGTGTTTAAGAGAGAGAGAGCTGCGACCTTAGGGTTTCGAAGGTAGAAGTGGAAGGATGGATGGCAACTGTGCAATCTGTGCTATGTAAGATCGAGAGTTGTAGAGGAAGCTCTCTACGCCATTGTAGACTGGAGCTCACAAAACGAGGTCTTTTGGGCATAGCGTGGCCGTTTCAACTCTGATGGATGGTGTGGCCTTGGCGGAGGGAGGCGGAGACATCGAGGAAGGTAGAGGTTTCGAGAAAAAAAAAAAAAAAACAAAAACAAAGAATCCGTGGACCCGGCCCGAACTGGACCGGGTTAGGTCCGGTTCCTATATTAGAATATGTTGTTCTTGGCCCGTGCCCACCCCTACTTGCTTTTCCCAACAATCTTCTAATTTTTTTTACCATACAAGTTATAACTAGCCTCCTATTTTATCATAAAAGTCTTCTATCTTATAATATAAGCCTTCTGATGTCAACAACCTTTTATTATTTTAAACCAATTCCTTTTTTTTTTTTTTTTTTTTTGGGGGGGGGGGTTAGTTCATATAAACCAGTTCTATACAATTTAGAAGAAGATTCAATTAAGTTGAAAGAAAAATCTCATTGTAATATATAGTTTTGAGTTATGACCTGAAATTTTGTTCGAATCTACTTTGTTAATCCTTTTTTTATAAAGGCTCGTAAACAAGCTTTGTTTTTATGATGTAATCATCTCATTACCAAATTTTTCGTTCAATTTTTAAAGCTCCATCACTCTTGTTTGATTAAAATATTCCATGAAAAGACAAAAAATAAAATAAAAACCTTTAATTGTTCTCCAGTTAATTGTATTGTTATAATTTTTTTTTTTTTCTAATTTCTTTCATTTGGCTTAAAGGCCCATCCTCGGATGAATTTTTGGATCCGTCACTAGATGGGATGGCTTGAGTCATCATCGGGTGTCAACCATCACATGGCCAATCCAGTGTCTTCCAGATACTGGAATCGGGACGTGTCAAGGTCATTCATATATATTTTGCTCATGGCAGTTGAGCTATAAAACCATGAGTATTTCTCTTTTGTCGAATGTTCACTTCCACTAACATGATGGCTTCATAGTACTCTTAACTTGCATTTGCTTCAGGTGCATGCCTAGGCATAAACCTCTACTCTAAGGCTTAGGCAAAAAAGCCTACATCTCCCAAAGGTATAGACAAATTCAATAATTTGATGCGCCATTCAGGCCAGAAAAAAAAAAAAAAAAAAAAAAAAACCAAAAATAGAGAAGAAAACAAAAACCTAAAAAAGTGAAAGATAATAAAAAAGTTTGTGATCTCAACTCAATGACTGAGCGAGCCTACCGTTCATTGATATTTATAATAGTACAGAGCTAAAAGTAATCCGTGTAGGACAGAACTAATGTCCAAGTGATCTCCAGCAACACCAGTCGTCAAAAAAGACCAGGCCTCTGACCATCATCACTTTCATTTGCTTCCAACTGATCATAACTTGATTCACTGGCTAATGACTCGTCATCACTTTCATTTGCTTTGTTCACGTAACTTGATCCACAAGCTTCCAAATTTTCATCCTGTCTTGTTTCTTCTCGTATTTTTGGTTCCCCTGGTACGAAGACATGATCAACTTTGAATTTCTCAGCATCTTCAACATAAAACGGGCATATACCACACTTTTCCACCTTCGCACCGGGAGTGTGTTGTTCGTAAAACTTTGGCAGGTAGAACTCAACAGAGGCCTCATTGGCAAGTTTGTAAACATCAGGGGAGCATTTTTTTGCTACCTCTTCACTTATAAAGGCCTTATTCCACACATACACGTGATGTCGGTCGTAACAGTAGCCATTCAATCTCCGAATTGGGATGTAGAATAAAGAAGTGAACAGTTCATGGCTTTCACCCAGTAATTTAACATTGAAACTAGCTCTTACCCTTAAGTCTCCCTGGCAGTTGGAAACACAAGAGACAACGACAGAGAGAGCGAAACCTGATAAACCTGTTCGAAACCAATCTGGAGGAAGCTTGATATGAACTGAAGATCCCTCACTTTGATAGCCGAAGCTGAACCAATTTGGAATTTCTTTTCCAGGACATACAATGCTAACACAAGGGTTCCCATAAGGGTTCTTTAATGGCTCAGTTGCTACTCGCATAATTCTAATATGTGCTTCATCCATTATGTTGCTCCTTGCATTATGATCCAATTTTCGGCAATCAGAAAAATCAAGTTTTCCAAAAGAGTCGTATTTATCCCAACCTTGTATGAGTGCTGTCCATGAACTTGACACTGTACTCAGCGACGTGCATCCATGTGCTTCAAGGTCACATACGACTGGGAGCTCTGGTAATGATTGAAGCCGCTTGCACCCAATTACGCTTAGTCTATGCAACCGAGAAGCTTTTCTGATGCCTGCAGGTATGCTCCTAATCCTGGTTTCACTCAAAATTAAATCTTGCAATGAGATTGAGCCAACGAAACCATCAGGGATTTCTGATATGCGGGTGCGACGGAGGTCAAGAACTTCCAAAGAGAGCAAACCAACAGAACCGGATGGCAACTCTTTGAGTCCCCGACAGTCACGAAAGCTGAGAGTTTTAAGGTTGGTTAAACTGTAGATGCTTCTTGGGACAACGTTAAGGTTCTTGCACATATCAAGATCTAATGTTTCAAGCCCAAACAGACTTGCAATAGACGAAGGAAGTTTTTCGAGCGCTGTCCCTTTCAAACTAAGAAAGTTCAGATGTTCCATTGGCTCCAAGATTGGAGGGAATTCGTAAAAAGCAGAGCAACCTGTGAGATCAAGTCTCTCAAGAGATTTCAAGTTACAAATGCTCCTCGGGATACTTGAAAGCCTTTTGCAGTCTCTTAGTTGAATGTTTTTGAGAGCAGGGAGAAATTCGATTGATGAGTGTAGCTCTAGAACAGCTGTTCGACTTAAACAAAGATATTCCAAATATTCCATCGGCTCCAAGATCTCTGGGAAGTTTTCAAGTTTAGAGCAGCTAGAGAGATCGAGTTCCCTGAGATATTTCAACTTACAAATGTTGGTTGGGAGACTCACAAGGCTCTTGCAACCAACCAATGATAATTTACTTATATCCCTGGGAAGCTCAGAAACCTGGCCAAGAGATGTGCAGCCCTGTAGATTAAAACAACCAGAGACTTTCAGCTTACACCTGTTGCTTGGAAGTTTCTTGAGGTCTCTACAATCTGTTATATCCATGTAAGTAATTTTCTCGTGAGACCAAACTGATTCAGGCAATTCCTGTATACCACTACGATATAAATCTAAGATTTCAATATTCTCTGGCATCTCTGGAAGATACTTAAGACTCGTGCATCTTGCAAGATCAAGATGAGTAAGTTTGTGGAGACGTTGAAAGCACCAGGGAATTTCAACCAAACTTTCACAGCCACAAAGATTTATGTCCACAATTTTTAGACTCCAAGAGAGATTTGGAACTTCTGTTAGATATTTAGAGTGTTGTAGATTGATCACTTCTAAGTTCACAAGTCTCTGCAACAAAAGTAAAGAAAACTACAGAGAATTAATAAGCAAGACTTCCTACACTGCATTCTTTCAAGAACAAAAATACATATATATACCTGGGGTTCATTCCAAAGCTCTTTAACTTGGCTTTCAGGCATATGAAGCTCAACTAGATTTTCAGGAGAAAAATTTGACGGCAAAGATTTCAAAGGATATCCACGCCAGTAAAGATAACGAAGAGAATTGGGAAGATCAAGAGAAGCGGTTAATTTCCAGTAAGTGCCAAACTTTTCAGAGTTAAGCACAATTAGCATCATTAGGTTAGACATCACTTTGAAGTTTGCACGTTTCAATGTTTGCTCTTCAATCTTAAACCAGTTAACCAGTATGGCTTGAACAATCGGAGTTCCCTGACAATAAGAGTGAAGTTTAAATGCATGTACAACAAAATTCAATTAATAATTAAATTTGTAGTAATCTGACGTCTTTATATAAATGAGCTTTTCTTTGGTGTGTTTTCATCTAAAGTTTCTCTATTTGCTTTTACTTAAAAAAGGAAATAAAAAGAACAGGAAATTGAATTCATTTGGCCCTTACCGTGTTACTTTTTAGTAGACGATAGATATCGACATCATTGAACAACCTATTACGTTTAGCGGGATCTTCAATACATTGTTCATGAACAATTGTGCTTCCAATTTCTTGAAGCAAATCATGCATCTCTATGGTTTTCTTTGTTGAATGAATTGATATAAGAGACATATCAACGAGAACTCTAATTCCAGCCCCTGCAAAGAATCCACGAATAGCTAACATTTTTTTTACATAATCCACATGCTTCCCTTTATGAAAACAAGCTATGTCCAAAAATATCTCCTTCTCATTTCTTCCCAATCCATCATAACTTAGTCTCAACACTCTCTGGATATTTTCATTGGGAAATTGTTTCAATTTGTTCAATTCATCTTCCCATTCTTCTTTGCTCTTACAATTTAGGAATGAGGACCCCAAAAGTACAAGAGCTAAAGGAATGCCTCCAACACAATCCACCGCCTTTTCTGCCAACTCCTTATAATCTGTTCTACGAGTACTGTTATTCTTGAAAGCACGCGAACAGAAAAGTTGAAGAGCATCATCCGGTTTTAATCCCTCAACCTTGTAGATCTTATCCTCTTCAACAATTTGCCTAAGTGTGCTCCTATCTCTACTAGTGATAATGATTCTACTTCCAGTGCCATACTGAAGACGAATGCCAGCTAAATGTTCAATTTGCATTGAATCACTCACATCATCAAGAACAATGAGGACCTTTGTACGACTGAGGCTTTCCCTAACAAAAGTTGACCCTATGGATAGACCTTCTTCCTTCAATATCTCTTTTAGAAGTTTATTTTGCAAGCGATATAGTCCATCTGTTTGTTCTGAGTTCTCCCTAACATTTCTAAGAAAACAACTAGCTTCGAATTTGGAAGAAAGTCTGTGAAATACAGTTTCAGAAAGGGTGGTCTTCCTAATACCACCCATCCCCCAAATTCCTACAGTGATGCAAGTGTCTAGTGAATGAATGCATAACAAAGATTCTATTTGCTCGATGCGTCTTTCAATTCCAACCAGGCCCTTTAAATCACATGATGATTCACGAATCAATTTGTTCCAAATATTGTCAACCACTTTCTTGACTAAATCGGCTTCCGTCCTGGCAAGTATAATATGATTATGAAGGACAAACAATAGTTAGTAATAAGTATGCCTAAACTAATTTTGTATGAATTAAATGATAACAAGTAGAAAAAAATTTATACAAATTATGGAGTTACTTAATTACCCAGTTTTGTTTGAATTATCAAACCCAGATAGATTGGCTATAGTTGTCAAAGCAGCCCTCCACTTGTGCACCTTGTCGATACTGTTCTTGAAACGTTTTTCAAGTTGAGCAAATGCAACTGCATAGCTTCCCTCTTGTTTTTGTACATCTGATGGACTGATGTCATAGAAGACGGGTATAACCAGCTGGCCATATGCTTCCTTGCATCTTAGTATATGTACAAGTTCATCCAGACACCATGTGGAAGAAGCATAGTTTTGTGAGAATATGATCACCGAAATCTTAGATTTCTCGATCGCTTTTCGCAGGGAAGGTCCAATTTCTTCTCCCCTCACAAGCCAGTAGTCTATGTAGGTTTCGATTTTCTTCCGAAGTAAGGCTTCAGTGAAGATGGCTGGTAATTCCAAGTCGGGTGTCCTCGCCTCTGAAACTTATAAACACATCATACTTTTCCCGATAAGGAGGGATATCAACATCACCACCAGCGTCAGCATCAGCAGCAGTGGCAGAAGATGAAGAAGAAGTAAATGTTAATGATCTGCGGCACATAGACAACAAAGTCATGATACACTCCATGTCTTTCGATGTTCCTCCCAACGCACAAGCTAATAACCTGATACGGTTTGTGAGTATAATTAAAAAAGAGAATGAAGTGGAACGAGTGGTTGATTATGGATGAATGTAACCAATCAAACAAGAAAGTCGCAAAACGTTGAAACCTTTAAAGCATTCAACCCAAGCCATTCAAATGGAAACAATGTCATGGTCTGACTTATCACTAGCTTGTGGACGAAGAAAGTTGAGATTTCACAATAAAACCTATGGCAATATGAGGAGTAGCTAAATGACTTATAAGTGCATGCAAGGTCTTTTGTTTTCCCGACGTGGGATTGATACTTTCAATACGCCCCCTAACATGTGATGAATTTACAAGCCTAACACGTGTACGACACAAATCGGATGACGTAGAGCACTTGTAGTCATTGGACCTCACATGCAAGACAACATGCTTTGGTAGGTAAGTGGCTAAATACCTCGATGGTCTTGAGGGTGAATTATCATTGAATTACATGAGTATAATAGCTTGATTTACAAGTATAATTGCTATATAAGAAATACATAAAATGAATGATTTAATTATACAAAAAAATCAGACATCATAGAGAATCTCAAGTAAACAGGAAATATATCAATCAATATCATCTATCAATGGCAACATAGTGGTCCCAAAATGACCTTTCCTATATATATGGGGGTTGTATTGGTACGATTACCGTACCAATACTCACGTACCACTTACCTTACCAAATTTTTAGTATAGCAAAATCTATTACCGTTACCGTACCAAACTTTTGGTATATCAAATTTCGGCATGCCAAATAGTTCGGTCAGCATGATATGATAATGGTATTTACCACTTTGTTTTGGATCACTCTTTTGGCCCAAAATTTGGTTTTTTTCCAACCCAATTCAAGGCCCAAATGTGTTTTGGCCACTCTCTTTGGGTTTTTAAAACTTTTTTAATTAATTATGAGAATTTTATAGAGATTCATTTAAGAAGAAGAAGTAAATAAATGGAAGAATTGCTGAAAGAACTCAGCATCCCTAAAAAGGAAGTACAAAGATTCCTAAGTTCTATCTCTACATTCTTTAAAATTGTACAAAAATTAACTTGATATATGAAGCTAAGGAGAAAGACAACCCAATTTGATGAAGGAGAAGATGAGATGGACTACGAAGAGAGATAGTCGCCAGAACGAGAGCAACAGAGATGAAGCCCATGGCAAGATGAGTGAAAATATGAAGTTGCAACAAAGAGGGCTTAGGTTTTTTTTATTGGAAAAGTAGAGGTTAGAGGGTGAGAGGATGGTGTTGGAGAAATAACTGGGAAAAAAATATATAAGTACATATATAATGATAATAATATATAATTACATATATAATGTCAAATTCGAGGTGTGACAATATGGTATCAAAACAATCGGTTACCCTTTCTAGTGGCCTTAAAAAGAAATATCTATTTGTTCACCACTGGTTACTTTGGATGACTTATAAGTTCAGATTTGTTGGTTTTGCAGTTGGCTTGCTTTAGTTGGTTGAAGATACGTGTTTAGAGGACAAGTTTCTGTTTTAAGGAGGAAAGATTGTAAAAGCCAGCTCTTTTGAGGCCCCAGTGTAATTTGCCAAACTTTTTGCGCGAAACATACATATTTTGACCCTTCAAACTACACATCATCTGTAAAGTTAAGTTGCCAACTTGCATAAAGCAAACCCTCACTTGATGTGATATCCCATCCCAACTTTTATTTTGTATTTAAAGTATTTTGGAGATTTAATTAAAGTTAGTTCGTTAAATTCTTAGATTTTGAGAAAAAGTGAATTGAGGGGTATTTCGAATTTTACTCAACCTTTTGTGTCAACTCTTGAGTTTGTTATTAGATCTTGATCCCACGAGCACGCAAGCGCAAACAGATCCTAATTCTGAGTTAGAACGAAAAAGCTAGAAGCGTTTTAAATTGGAGGGCATTTTGGTAAGAGTGCTATAAATTGAGGGAAACTTCAGGAAAGTTCCAAAAGCTTCAAAAAAGGGAAGTCTGATTGCTGACCCGTTTTAGGGGGTGATCGGGTCACCAACCCGGTTGGTTGACCTGGTCATTTCTCCTCCGTCAGATCTCTGTTTTGAGTGATCTTGGTGTCTATGGAAAGCTCTCAACAAGCGCAATGTCTTGGTGGTGTTAGATTTCCTAAGGAAAAATTAGGTTCTCATCCCTCTTTCTTCTATTCTATTGATTAAAACCTTATTTATTTGCAATTTTTTATCAAGATCCTTAGGTTTTAATGAATGTCATTATTTCAATAATAAAATATTTACATATTAGCATAATTAAATAATTTTCTAAAATACATTAATTTAGTATTATAAATGTTACATTTGGTATATTTATATTTATGGCAAAACTTTGTATCATATATTTTTATTTTTAGTTTGTACCCAATTTTAATTTGCAACCTTTTTTTAAATTTGTACTAAATTTCTATTTAGTTTTAAATTGTACCCATATATTAATTTCTTTTTTTGCCCTTTTCTTTAAAAGATTTATTTGTGGTCTAGTTTTTTTTTTTTTTTTTTTTAAATAAAATATTTGTTCCCATAATTTATCTATAATGTACCCATTCTACTTTATAAATGTACCACTTCTTTATATGTAAAATGTACCTTCTTTTTTTTTTTTCTTGTAAATATACCATTTTTAAAATGTAAAATCTATAAATGTACCCCTTTTTTAATTTCAAATGTACTCTTATTTAAAAATATAAAATAAAACATTTTATTTTGTGAAAAACTAAAAAATCTGAAAAGTGTAAGAAGAATTATCACTCTTTGAAAGATTATAGGGAGGAATTAATACTAAAATTTAATATTTTGTCTTTTAAGTAAAATATTCAAATGAATAAATTTATTCTAAGATTTTGGTATAATAAAATTTCAATCAAAATAATGTATCCATATGAATATTTTGGGTATATTACTATATAGCTTATTTACAATTTTTTAACACTATGGATACATTCTTTTGCTATTTATGATTTCATATTAGTACATTGTTTTTATTCATTTATTCAATTAAAAAATTTGAAAACTTTTTCCTATAGCCGTTTCATATTATTACATTGTAATATAACGAGGGACTTTAAATCTAGAATTTATATGCCACATATATATTGTCATATCCCGGCCTAGGTCCCCACCATATCCCGGGCTCGACTCTACCGTAGCACGATATTGTCCGCTTTGGGCCCCGACCATGCCCTCACAGTTTTGTTTCTGGGAACTCACACGAGAACTTCCCAGTGGGTCACCCATCCTGGAAATGCTCTCGCACGCTACTTGTTTACCTTCGAAGTTCCTATGGAACCCGAAGCCAATGAACTCCCAAAATGCCTCATGCTAGGTAAAGATGGGAATATACATATAAGGATCACTCCCCTGGGCAATGTGAGATGTTACAATCCACCCCCCTTAGGGGCCCGACGTCCTCGTCGGCACACCTACTCACATACTCAGCGATCTCTCTCTTCATACCCGGCCAATAATAAAATAGTCGAATGGTATGATACATTTTAGTACCTCTAGGATGCATTGCATATGCCGAAATATGTGCTTCATCCAAAATTTCTTTCTTTAATTCCATATTATTCGGCACATACATTCTCCCTTCTTGCATAAGCATGCCATCATCTAGGGGAGTGATCATTATATTTATATTATCATCTCTACCTACCATGAAGCCTTTTGGGAGCTCATTGGCTTCGGGTTCTGTAGGAACTCCGACGTTAAGCGAGTAGCGCGCGAGAGCATTCTCAGGATGGGTGACCCACTAGGAAGTTCTCGTGTGAGTTCCCAGAAACAAAACCGTGAGGGCATGGACGGGGCCCAAAGCGGACAATATCGTGCTACGGTGGAGTCGAGCCCAGGATGTGATGGGGGCCCGGGCCGGGATGTGACAATTTGGTATTAGAGCCAGGTTTGATATATGTTTATATATTCTATTTTCTAGGAAAATTATACAGGTTTTACGACAAGGGGTTAGAAATTTTGAGAAATGAAATGATTTGGAAAAGCTTTGTTTTTGCCCACTCACACTTTCTGTTTTGCGCCCCTCCAGGTTCTAGGTAGGATTTCTCGTTGCTGGCTTGCGAGGGCTTCAAGGCAGTTCTGACAGACTACCAATGTAGGATTATCTTTGAGTGTTATTTAATTAGTACTTATCTAGCTGGATTGACATTAGGCTACTTATGCTCTGGTTGTGTATTTCACACTTATTTTCATGCTAGTACTTTGGTAGTTGGTTTTTATCATCTCATATTTCTCTATTTCTTTATCGCTTCCACACTGTGCACATGGTTACATCACTGTCACGTGACGGCCAACATGCCTTGATTTCGGTCAGGGTGTGTCATATACACACACACAATATGGGATTATAAATTTCATAAATGTCAAACATATAGAAATATACATATTAATATTAATATAATGAGGTTTTCAAAATCAAGTGACTTTGATCAAAATTGAATACCATTAAGGTTTTAGTTAGAGAGTGTTAATGACTAGGGACCGAATCCAAAGTCTCCCATTTCTCAATTTATCACTACAGAGTACGAGTTCAATTCACTGTTGTACACAACTTCGCATGCATGTAAGCAACTAATTTTATGAACTAAATCAATAAATACTTAGAAACAAATTAAATGGATTATTTGAATACTGCTAGGCTTTAGGGGGACGTTTGTTTGCCCTCACTAAGTGTCACTGGACTAGACTAGACTAGACTAACTATTAGTCTAGTCCTATGTTTGTTCCGTAGTGGTTTTGTGGTTAATGAGATTAAAGGAGACTGGCATGGACAAACTCCTTCATTAGGAGTTCTTAGCGAGACCTCCCAATATCCATGGGATTGCTAAGACCTCGTCTGCTTCGTCTTCGTATGCTCCCTCTCATCCTCTCTCTCCTCTTTGTTCTCTTGAGAACTAACAACCACCATCACACCATAACTCGCCAACTCTAGTGAGATCACACCACCACTCTCTCCCTCTCTCCTCACCCTGAACCCATAATTTCGAACTGAGGAAGATCTCGCTCTTACCGTCGTTCGTCCAACTCTAGTCGTCTGCTTTGCTGTGCTTCGAATTCAACCTCGGACTTGTCGGCTTTACACGATTGACGGGATCTTGTGAATCCAGTTG